ATGGATGAATTTCTGATGCAATATTAATTTTTATGCAGTGACCATTTTTCATTATTTCTTTTAGAAATCGCACACACTTGGGACTGTAAGAAAAAAAAAGTCCTCATAAGGCTGTGTTTTAACAACAATATCTCAGCAACTACTGAATTCTCACTGTTATTTCACATCAAGTCATTGATGCAGAATCTGTAATAACGGACAAGTCGATCAACAATAGTCTCTGGTTATGGGTTTAAATATAAAAAAGTCAGAACATAGGGCCATTTTCATGCTGCAGTTATGTGTTTCTTTTTTGTGTAACTGATGGAAAAGAAGCACTGAGGGTTGTTTTTCTGTTTCTCCAGGTGGCTAACAGTGTGTGAGAATGTGAAGGAGTTCCTAGAGAGAAACGCCACTGATGCAGGAAGTTACACTCGCCCTACGGAGAGCTGTACTCCTGTGATGGATCAGAGGGAAATCAGTGATACAGTCCTATGCAAGGTGAGAGAGAAACATGACAAACCATGGCCAAACAAAGATGAATTATCTAGAACAGAGAGAACTTGCCCCTCCATAGGTAGTGTGATAAGAAGAATATAAATACTGACAGTCCTGGTACTCGGGGAACATATTTTTTGATGTTAGTCAATAATGTAACATGCCATCACAAATAAGAGTTAAAAATGTGAACTCCTGTGATGATGAGCTTTCTTCAACATCAGTGTACGATCTGTTTATTGTATATAGGCCCTGTAATGTTTACAATGCTTCTACCTGTGGTTCATATTATGGTTTTTGGTTTAACTAAAAGGCCAGTAGACATGAGGGTTCACAGGATAAAAGTCCCATAAACAGGTCGGACCAAGACCATTACGAGCTTTATAAACCAACAAAAGGATCTTAAAATCAATTCTCAAACAGACAGGTAGCCGGTGCAGAGGCTTTAGAATTAGTGTAATGCAAGTTCTCCTTCTGGTCTCAGTCCACAAACGTGCTGCTCAAGTTTGAAGCAGCTGAGTTTGAGATATGTTCTTCTAGAGACCAGATAAGAGAGCATTACAATAGTCAGCCCTGCAGGTAATAAAAGTCTGTAATAGTGTTTCTGTATTGGCTTGAGAGGACAACGATGGCAGTGTTCTTTAAATAATAAAATGCCTTCTTTGCTATGCTTCTAATGTGAAGCTCAAAATTGATATTTGAGTCAATGTGACCTCTGGGGTTTTTTTTACTTGTTGACATGTGCTGCAGATTCACATTTTTTCTCTCTCTCGGAGTTTCACCATCAGTGTGTAATGTTTCATTTTTTTCCTGATTGAGCAAAAGAAAATTCTCTTCCATCCATAACTTTATGTCTAAAATAGAGTAAAAGAAGGCATCGATTGGCTCTGGGTCATCTGTAAACTTCACCAAATCACGCTATTTCATCAAAATCACTTTATTTTACATCTAATTTAGAAAGTTGCACAGATATGAGTTGAAAAATGTTGAAAAATGTTGTACATGTTGAACCAACATTTTCAATTTTTATAAAACAAATAACGGAAATCTGTTTTATTCAGTTGCTTTTTACTGAAGCTCATGGGATTATTATGACCTGGATGATCGAGAATCTGCACAGATGTATGAATGTATGGCTGAATTTCTTTTTTTGTTTTTACATTACACGTACAAATGAAGAGCTCATTTGCAAAAACAGATCATTCCATCTTCACAAACCTTCAGAAAACCCACTTTTCCATCATCTACCTGAGACAATATCAATCAAATTTAAGTTATCTCTCTTTCTGTCATGTCAAATCCACTCAACTTCAGTTTGATTGATATTATCTCAAGCAAACGACAAAAAATAGTTTTCTGAAAATCTACAAATGAATTTTTGCAATTGAACTCTTCAAATATTTATCTATATTCTGAGACTGTTCTGTGTGTTTACAAAGATATTTTTCTATTTTATGTTATATACAGGTTTTAGATATGCAGATATTTTTTATGCACGTCATTTTGCATATTTTCTGTCCTGTATGTTTTGCACATTGTGTATTACAAATGTTTTTGTACACTTTGCTTTAAGTCTTCAGTACGTTGAAGTACTTCTGTCTAGTTTTTGTGCCAGAAATGTGGTTTCTTGGCTGTGATTGTAGCTGCTGTAAAGGTAATTTTCTTTCAAGGATCAAGAAAGTATCTTATTTTATCTTTTTATATATAATTCTTTAAAATGTGCTTCTCCTCTATGATTGTACACCTGCAGTTCCCCCCTGCGGCCAGTGGGTGGCAGTACTGTGCTTTATTGCGTGTTTACAAACTGCCATTAAACACATAAGAAAGCTGCAGAGGGCGGATAAGATACGGTTAAACTCATTAAAAACAGCATACCGGAGGTGTTATCATAAGCTGCAGCTGTCGTGCATCCCCCGTGAGATTTTTTGCACATCTCGTATCAACTTGTCAGACAGTGTCGGTCCGTGTACGAGCGGTTCTCCCGGTGGGTGTCACAGGTCTGATGCTGCAGGCAGCTGCTGCTTCCTGTATTGAGGCACCAGCAGTCGGAGCCGAAGCCCTTTTTCTCGCTCCGGGAGCCCCACACCCCGAACCGCAACACGGAGGGATTCGTTTTTCGGATGCTGAGGGAAACCTGCCGAGTCGGTCTCCCGGTGTAGCTGCCGGTTAAAACCGCGGTGTCTTGTGAAAGCTGAGAAGCGAGGGGGGCTGAGGAGACGCAGGGCACGATTTTTCCAAGAGCTGGCGCTAGCTAGTAGCAGCTAGGTGGCTAATGGCTAGTAGCAGCAGGTAGATAACCCAGAAGAAGCAGAGAAATAGACATGTATTTACTCCGAATTTAATTAATGAACCAGAAAAACTATCTCGCTTTTAAAGGCCACGTCGGCATGGTACGTTTCACCAAATTAGCTAACTGACATGCTACCGAAAGTGTACTAACTTTGCTAACGTTAGCTAGCCAAGTTACTAGCCATCCAGAGCTGATCCTGTTGCTTTTTCAGGCAGACTTTCGAGCAAGGAAAAGGTTAGATTAGCAGCTGCCCAGCTCACTGCAGGTTAGTGCTGTTTTCAGAAAGTCGTTTGGGGTAGTTATTGAAATGGCTCCCAAAAGAAGACCCGTTCCCCTGAACATTACGCCCATTGGGGAGGGACAGGCCACCTCCAACACCATTGATGCTGCATCTGAGTGAGTAGCACTGCTTTCACTTCAAATTTAATGTGTTCAGGAGTAAATCTGCTGTTGCTCTGTCTGCTTAGGTGAGTTATCAGCGTTTCCTGGCTGTGCATCAGGTTGATTCATTGCATCACCATTTAAGGAGATCCCCCTGCCTCACACATTCTCTCTGTCTGTTTATTAAACTCTGTTAAAGCAAATGTCTCCTCCTCACAGAGCCAACCTTGAGGCCTTACAAAAGAAACTGGGCGAGCTGGACCTGGACGAACAGCAGAGAAAACGACTGGAGGCCTTCCTCACCCAGAAAGCCCAGGTTGGGGAGCTGAAGGATGAGGATTTTGACCCCATATGTGAGTTGGGTGCCGGAAACGGAGGAGTGGTCAACAAGGTCCGCCACAAACCCTCGGGTCTGGTCATGGCTCGAAAGGTGAATGTCGTTTTGTGTTTTGCTGCAGGTGAAACCTGTAAGATGATAGGTGCACATTCCAGTGTTGTTCTGAGGAATCATTGTTTAGATGTTATCATGGCACCACAGCAGGTTGTTGCTTTTGTTTATTGGACCCACATGTGCATGATAGCACTGCTTTCTTACTGGCACCATTCTTATCATGATTTAGAAACACAAACTGTTCAGTGATCCTCACAAGGGCAGTCATTATTTACTTAAATAAGATTTTCGAAGCCCTGTAAGCTGTGATATTTCTCGTCACCTACATGTTGACGTAAATATACCCGCGCTGTGGGCTGATGGAAGCACTGTCGAGTTTAAACAGTTGACATTAAAAATATGAGCTTTAAGTGGTTTGATGAGTCCAACACCAAATGGAAAAAGAGACCAACTGTATTACATAATGTCTGTATATATCTGAGAAATGCTTATCACAGATAGATGCTGAGTGGAGCATTTGTTATGAGTAAGAAAAACATTTCAGCAGGGAGATATGTCTGAGGAAATTTACAAGCGGTGCCTCAGCCACGTCGTTTGTCTTATCAGAGAGCGCTGATACACTTTCATTTTAACGTGCCTGGCGCCTTTTTTTTAAACAACTAAATCTAAAGTGATCATTATCAAAAGTATTATCTTTTTTTATGTGTCTATTACGAGAGATAACATTTGCCAAGATATCATTAATTTTATAGCATGTGTGTGTGTTTAGTTAGCTTTATGAGAAACAGTTTTAGATTTAGACCACCAGAGTGAGGACATTTTGGTAAAGTCATTTCTCACTTTTTCAACCGCCTTTAAAGGGCATTTTAAAGGTCAAGACATAGAGGTTTAGGCTGTTTGTAAGGGTTGGTGATAGGAACTTAGTTGTGATGGTTAGGATAATGACTTAATGTCCTCACAACGGTAGCCGTGCAAAAATGCCTCCAGAACCTGTTGACCACTTAAATAATCTATTCACCCTACATTTGATTCCTTGCACAGTTCATTTGACAGCAGGTTGTTAGGACTTCAGTTAGACTCTCCAACAGCAACTCAAACAAGCTCAATCTTGTAGGCTGTGAAGTGTGAGTTGACATACCAAGCTACAATTTCCACTGAAAGCGCCACAAGTAACGTGGAACCACTTGGAAATGTGTAATGAGGCATTCTGCTTGAATGCAAATTCACCCGAGCTAAGATTGCTAACACAACGCAAAATGTTAGTATTTTTTTATCCACCACTTCTTAAATTTGTTACAAAGACGTCGACAAGTGATATAACTGCATCTGTTTTCTGCATCTTTGTCAAAACGGCATTTAATGGTTTCACCTTTTTCCCTCCTCAGTTGATCCATTTGGAAATCAAGCCTGCCATCAGAAACCAGATTATCAGAGAGCTGCAGGTGCTGCATGAATGCAACTCCCCCTACATTGTAGGCTTCTATGGGGCCTTTTATAGCGATGGGGAGATCAGCATCTGTATGGAGCACATGGTGAGAGACAAAGACTGCCAGTAGGGTCTCCTACCCATAAACACAAACATATTTTTGTTGGGAACAAGCATCTTACTTTTATTTATTTACTTTTTTTTTTAATTACAAAAAAAGTAAGAATATGATAAGGCTACATGATTATGGCCAAAATGCTAATTATGATCATTTTGTTCAATCTTGAGATCCTGATTATTTATCTGGATTGTTTATTGGTTTTAAGGACATTGTATGTTTGTGCACTTCTCAAATTTCAGTAAAGAGAACAGTGCGTTTGTTCCATGTTGTGCCAAATTCCAGAAAGACTTCTTCATCTCAGTGCATCTCCAGAAGACGACGTACACATATAGTTGTCCCCGAAACGCTACACTTGCTGCTCATCTGCTTAACTTAAACACTGCAATTTGCCGGTGTTCCTTAAACGCCTCAGATTTAGGCTACAGTAGACATTAGCTAGGCAGCTGTGCACAGAGAAGCCTCCAGTATCTTCACAGCTGTGTGACTAAAAATACTTTGAAAAGAGTGAAATAAGGCGTTGTGATGTCAGATTTACCCAAGTTGAAACTAAATGATTCTGTCTACATGGGCTGTTTCTGATGACTGGAGTTTTCTATGAGCTGAGCATTTGAAATGTCAATTTCACAGTCAATCATGGCTATTTAATTGTGGGAAGCCAAAATCGTGGTTGTGATTAATATGAATGAATGTGCAGCCCAAGGATATGTTTTCCAGAAAGAGCCACGTGCAGTTTTATGTAAATCTTAACATGGGTGTTTCTTGTCTCTACAGGACGGAGGATCCTTGGACCAGGTCCTCAAGGAAGCCAGAAGAATCCCAGAAGAAATCCTTGGAAAAGTCAGCATAGCTGTACGTACGCTATTTCTGTTGCTTTGAAAATCTAGTTCTGTATTTTCCAGATGACTCGAGCAGAGAAGCTTCTAGGTATGACACTTGTGATTGGCGTAAACATTCTTATAAAATATTCTTACTCGACATGTTTTTGCGTACACATTGCGCATTGTGGGTGTGTGTCTTTTGCGGTGTTGCTTAAATAGCTGTGTGTTGTCCAGTCTTGCATCAGTCCCAAACAGTAGCACCTACTGTATCTTACTCAACCTAAACTCCTGCATCAAGTCCAAAGTGTAATAATGGAATTACCAAAGACAAAGCCTGTTGTTATACGTGTGTACATGGAATCTTGTCTGAGATTTTTGCCTCCTGTGTGCTTGTTTTGAACGTTTTACCCTTTTGTTTACAGGTGTTGAGGGGATTAGCCTATCTGCGGGAGAAGCACCAGATCATGCACAGAGGTAACACTGTTCTTCAGTCTATAGAAGTCACATTGCTTTCAAAATCTCTTCAGTTATATTTTCAAATCAGTGCGGTACAAGTTCTAAATGTGGAGTTCACAAAATCAGTGAGCTGCCGAAAGAATTATTTATGAATGTACGTTAACATTAAGGAGTGTTTTCAAACATTCATGTCGTAGTCGGACTATTAATGAACTTGTATGTCCAAGATTTCCTTCTCAAACATTTTATTTATTGCAGTGTTTTTCACACATCGCTTTTAGGTTATGTACTGGCTAAATTCCTCTGAATTACTTTTCGAAATAATGATACCAAAACCATGAAGAAACTCTGACTCCACATAATCTATGAGCACGACAACCAAAAGATTATTTTTTTTATAGATACACTACTTGTTAAGTTTTATGGCATTTTCAACCTCATTTAGCAAAAGGCCAGTTTGGATATTTTGTGGACATTTGTTGTGGGGAACCTAATGATTCCCATCTATTCAGTATTAAATTCCATTTTTACTCATGTTTGTGTGACGACCAGCACAGATTCAGACCTTGTATTTTTTTTTTTTTAAATTCCCACACTGACATTGTCCTTGCTGGTCTGAAACAGGCTCAGACACAATAACTAAAACCATAAAGGTATGACTGCTATTTCCAAATGTCTGGACTTTTTTTTGTTTGGTCAGCGTAACCACTTGAAATCCGCCACATTAACTAAACCGGCTCCAGTCGTCTCTGCACTTTTTCATTCAGATTTGTATTAATTGTCTTCATGCCTTTTTCTCCCCCCCCCCTCCATATGCACTGCATCAACATCCTGAGAGCTTTGGCACGCTCACCACAAAGCAAGCTATTATTTGGGAGTGTCACAAGTTCCTGATCATAGAAATTTGTAGAAAAAGAAGGGCTCAGTGAATCCCATTATCTTTGCATTCAAACAACATCACAAGTCGCGAAGTCGGAAGTTTGTCACAGCGCGCCGGTGAAGGGACCATGGGTGTGCTGTGCTGTTGTGAAAAGTACTGGCGAAGGGAGCGGTCAGACGTGCAGAGCGCAGGGCAGCGAAGTTTCACAGTACTACAGGGTCGGTGGTACTCGAGGATGGAGTTGTCTGTGAGCTCAGGCGGTAATTACAGCCTCTCAGATGTGATTATACAGCAGCCGCGCCCTGTTAACCCCTCCCTCCGTGTCTTTCTCCATCGTTCTCCCGCTCTTTCATGCCATCTCTTTTTCAGTCACTCCCCACATGTCCTTGGTCGGTGGGAGGGGGTCACACACCGCAGAGGACAGATTGCAGGGCTCAGACGCACACCATTATTTTGCAGGATGTTTTTCGGTGATGAATTGGATCTGTGGAGGACTGGGCTTGTTTATAACAGGGGCTTAGCAAGAGCTGGGGGGTTGCTGCTCGTCCCACCCGCAGCCCTCATGGCAGACTGTAGTCCTGCTCAGAATATTTTTATGTTGCGTGGAGGATTTTTATGTGTAGGAGAAGATTAAAGTGCACATGTTGCTATCATACAGCAGACACAGTCATATGTACACAATCGTGTTCATGTCCCCCTACATATATCCCCATGTTTATACACAAACCCACGTATGCAGCCATGTGTAGATGTTTAGGTTCTTACCCAGCGCCATAAGGGAGGCATCTGATTTGTCCCGAGCTCATTGTATAGCATGACAACAACAGCCTACGCTGCTACAGCTATAGCACTATCTTGAAGAACAAGAAGTCCTGCAACAAATGCGCTCCAGATAACCCTTATCGCAACAATCATGGAGTCAGTCTGGGATTACCTCAAGAGACAGAAGGCACTCAGACAGCCTAAATCCATCGAAGAACTGTGGCAACTTCCGCAAATTATTGGCAGCAACGTACCTGCCAAGTACCTTGAAAAAAGTATGTGTCAGAGAATTGGTGTGGTTTTAAAGGCAAAGGGTGGTCACAAAACTATTCCTCGATTTGAGTTTTTTATAGCATTATTTTTGAAAACATTCTCACTTTCGCTAAACATTCTGCACAGAACACAACAGCATAGCAGTCCATTTTCATGTCGACAAAACTTGCACAGCTCAGACCGTCCATTGTAAGGTGTTGAGTACGGATGACGGATGAGATGCAGTGTGAAGGGAGTCTGTAATGTTTAATTTGTCTGTTTGCCCACGTCCCCTCTGCCATATAGACGTCAAGCCCTCCAACATCCTGGTCAACTCTCGCGGGGAGATCAAGCTGTGCGACTTTGGTGTGAGCGGCCAGCTCATAGATTCCATGGCCAACTCCTTTGTTGGAACGCGCTCCTACATGTCGGTGAGTCAGCTCTGCACGCCTGCGCCCCCACCCCTTTTCCTCTGGCCCTATCCCCACTTTCCTTCTCCACTTTTCTCACATGGCTCTTGTTCACTGGTCCCGCCCTCCGCCTTCCTCTGGCCCTCCCTAACTCCCCTGCCAAGAACAGAGGGCTGTGCCCAGGAAAGGGCTCTTTGGCAATGAGGGAGGCAACTGTGCTCGCTCTGTCTCGTCCTTCTTTCCCCTCACTCTTAGACGCCCGGTGGGTGCAGAGCCAAAATCTGCTTGTCCGTCCCATCCTATTTCTATCTTTTACCTACAAAGCACCACTGGAATAGGGACATTTGCCCTTTGATTGTAATTCCAAACACACACACACCTGTCCTTGCTCACCCTTCTAACTAAAACAGTTCAAAGCCGCTCTTCGCTTCCTGCCAAGCCTTTTCGCATCCTCTGTCCTCTTGCCCTAACCACACCCCACCATTCCTTGCCATAACACCCCCCCCCTCCTCCCCTTCCCCCCCCCCCCTCCTCCCCTTCCCTCCCGCTCTTCTCCTCCACTTCCTGTGCCTTCCCTGCCCAGCCCTCTGCCCAACCCTCTCTCCTGCCTGGCGTCTTGGCTCTACCTGCTCCCCGTGACGTAGTTGTGTTTCTCAACAGCCGGAGAGACTGCAGGGCACTCACTACTCGGTTCAGTCTGACGTGTGGAGCATGGGTCTGTCCCTGGTGGAGCTGGCGATTGGCCGCTACCCCATCCCCCCACCAGACGCCAAAGAGCTGGAGGCCATCTTCGGACGGGCCGTCATGGACGGGGCCGAAGGAGAGCCTCACACCAACATGCAGAGGCCCAGACCACCGGGCCGGCCCGTGAGCGGTATGAAAAACAAAAACATTTACCAGAAATGCACATGTGGATTTGTGCAGAGTTACCAGTGACACAAAAAGCCTGCTTAAGATTTGATTTAAACTCATGTGTTGTGGATAATGATTTCAGTTGTGTCCATGATTTGCAACTTTTCCACAGGACATGGAATGGACAGTAGACCTGCCATGGCTATCTTTGAACTTTTGGACTACATTGTGAATGAGGTCTGAGAAATAACTGATTTGCACAATATGTACACACACACGCACACACACTCCTGATTGTTCTACTTTTGATCTTTGATTCTTGCTCTCTCCTCAGCCTCCTCCTAAACTTCCGCTCGGTGTCTTCACCAGTGACTTCCAGGACTTTGTGACAAAATGGTGAGTACAGAAAATGACATTTTGTGAAGTGTTGTCATCTGTTCTATGGAAAAAAAGGATTTTGAGAATAGACCAAAAGCTAACATTGCTGCACTTGGCTTCTTGGTGTTATTTCATCAATCTTACATTAATTTTGTTTCGTACTTAGAGGTTGAAGCCGACGCGGTGCTAAGGTAGTTTGAAAACAATACACTGCAACTTAAACCGTAAACATCCTCAAAAATACAAAAATCCTCTTGAATGTAACCGTTTGCCTGATCTGGTTTTTCCATAATTCTTAAAAATTGCTTTTACTCCAACCCCATTGATGAAAAGTTTGGAAACTATGAATTATGCAGATATTTTTCATTTCAGAAGTTCAACTGCTGGATTTTAAATGTTATAAATTTCCACATTGCACATGTGTAAGTAGGGCTGAACGATGTGCATAAAGAATCATATTGCAATTAACTATGAGTCACATTTGGTTTTAAATGATAATTTTTTCAATTTTCTTTTCCGTCCAAACAAATGATGGGATTTTCTCTGCTGTCTGTACCAGACAAACATGTTCCCTTACGTCTGGAGAAAATGACTTTGGTGTTTCTCTGTACCACCACAATACTTCATGTGGATATTGTACTTCGCCATATTGGTAATATTTCAATTATTTATTCAGCCCTAAGTTGCATATTTGACTTCCAAACTTGTTTGGATGCCACAAAATCATCCTCTACATACATGTGTTAACTTCAGGTTTAAGGTGAGCTCAGAAAACTTTGAATGAAAACATTCTTTGAGTGTCTGCGCTTGCGTCATACTTTCCAGTGAACTGCAAACATCCGATGAGCGAAACCCATTTCTGAGAGGAGGGGCTGCTTCATTAACCTTTTTTTTTTGGTCTCATTTGTGTTTTGCAGTTTGATCAAAAACCCAGCTGAGAGAGCAGATCTGAAGATGCTGATGGTGAGTACCTACACTTTGTTTGGTCGACGAGTTCTTCGTTTTCCTGTGTCCGTAGTGCTACCAGTACAAACGGAAATCTGCCTTTTTTCAGAGTCACACGTTCATCAAGCGATCAGAAGTTGAGGAAGTGGACTTTGCCGGCTGGTTGTGCAAAACCATGGGCCTGAACCAGCCCAGTACTCCCACCCGCGGCACTGAGTGATCCAGCAACACCCCCGCCCCTCCTCCACACACTGCCCTGACACACCTCTGGGTCTCTCTGCATACTCATATACTGTACATACACGTACACAAGCCATCACACATATTGGCACTTTTTTCATCTTGCTCTTGGGTAAAACCGTTTTGGCTCCCACACCCCCCCTCCCCGTCCCCTCCCCCCGTTTATTTCTTCACCAGCAGCAGGGCCCATTGAGTCATTGTACTGTAAGACCACAGCTTCACCATGACAGTGTCAAGAGCAGCCACAGCTCACTTCTCCACACTGCTACAGAGGATGTAAAGCACTGAAGGGCTGCCAGTGTGTCAGCTGAATTTGCATTGACAAACTTCTTTTGTATTGTTGAATATTCTGTATTAATCTTTTCTATGGCAACGGTTGATGGCTTGTGGGACTGTGTTTTAATAAATAACCTGCTGTAGAGATTTGTTGGGCTGAAAGTGACAGGGAAATCCAGAAATTATTATCTACTTGCAAACTCCGATTTGGTTTTATTGAAGGTGAATGCAGCCGTTTTGATTTTCAAATCATTCTGTCTGACTTGTACATGCTAAAATGCTCTTCGCAGAGACCTTGCAATTACCTTCAATATAATAATCAAATTTGCGAGTAGTAGCGCAGGACAAAAGGGCGAGTTAGGAGTCATTTTCACTTTTTTGGCAAATGAGCGATCACTTTGTGAACAATGTCACAAACCAAAGAGGGTACTCATGACTACTAAAGTTTTTCAATTGCTGATCTGTTTTTTTTTTTGTTTTTTTTTTCTTGTATGCACATTCATGACAGTATATCAGTGTACTTTGAATGTTCTCATTTTGCATTCAGTGATCTACACGCTGATTGTGTTGACATTGTTTCCTCAACTTACATTTCAATTCACATCCCACACTGTATGTCTCACATGGGAGGAGGCATATAATGTGGAGGCCTGATATATGCCAGAATGTCTCTATTGACATTGAGAAAACAATGATCAAAATGTATTCATGGGATGATATAGCATGGTTTATTATCTTTCTAATACTGTATGTGTATTTTATTTCCCAAGATCATGATGGGGATGATTAGCTGGTGTTTTTATCAAAAGCCTGAATCTCTGCAATGTCGATATGAAATCTCAATCACTGATTTGATTTTTCTTTTTCTCTTTGTTGTTGGTCTGTACTTTCCCCTGAAGTGTATTTGGTTATGTTTTCACCGTACTGCTAAGTGTGGCGCTCCAAGCTTTTTTTATTGGGACACAACCAACCTAGAGGCTCACTTTTGGGAAAAGACTGGGGTTGAAATGCAGTTAAAACGCTTTTCCAAGCCGACTTCAAGTGGAACAGGCCTCTCGAGTAGTACAGAGGGTCTGATTGAACATTTTAACCCGGGTCAGTGTTGGTCACATGGTGGTGGTGTTACTTGCTAGCCTGCCGTCTTGCTAGAGCTCTTGTATTCTCTCTGCTTATGGCTGCCCTTTCTTATTCCCCCCCTCTCCCCCCCCAAAATGTGCATTCGTTAAGAGCAAAATGGATGCATTGTCACTTGTATGTGTACAAAGCTATATACAAAAATTACAGGAGTACTATTTTGCAGTCTTAATATACAAATTTTTGATTTATGTAAATGACAAGGAGAAGAGTCATTTTATTATAATATAAAAATGTGTTGGATATGGTTATAATGTATAAAAAGATTAAAATAAAACTTATTTGTGAATGTACTACAAGTTTCGTTCTCATTTATACCCACGTCATTACTTTGCATCTATATCTCAACTGGACAAAAGTCCGATTTAGCAGATTAGCAATTAAAATGTTCAACTCATTCAAGAATATGATCCTTTGATATGGTTGTCAGCACTGTAGCAGTCATTTTTATGACTGAGGTCCTCTCTTTTTACTGGGAATTGTGGTTTTTCAGTCACCCTGGCATGGGTTTGCATCAAACCACACATGGTGAGTACTGTGCAGGGACTTTTCCAGTATTTGAAGACAAGTTTTTACCTTGTTAAAATGTCCATATGGCGTTTTTAATATGCTAGAGTACACATTATCTGCCAACTTTGCAGTCAGCGCCATTACGAAGCATTTCTGCTTTAAAACGGTAGTTTTGATGACCACCTTAAACACATGGATTCAGACATCCGGGGTTTTATACGTAACAAACCTAAAGAACCAGTTCTGTCAACTTACAGGGTGGGACGTCCCATCTTATTCTTTAGAACTGGTTTTTAGTTTGAATGTGTGTAGCTTAATTACTGCAAAATTTCAACATGCCGTGGTATTGATAGTATTGAGCAGCAAGCGGGGAGAGGTGGGGAGCGAGGGGTGAGGAGTGAGGACATTGGGGTGAGATAGAGCATCACCGGACGGTGGAATATTTTGGCACTTTGGCAAATTTTGTTACTGTATCCAGTGTTATTATTATTATTGTTGCTATTGTTGTTGTTACTATTGTTGCTGATGTTGTGTTGGTGTTGTGTTGATGTTTCTGGTACAGCAGTTTCCCTGAGGTTTGCACCAAAGGGATCAATAAAGTTCTATTCTATTCTATTCTATTCTATTCTATTGCACATAGTCGCTGTACTGCACATATATAGACCAGAGTACCCCAAGTGGACTAGAAAGGTGGGTATTAACAACAGCTGTGTGTCCTCAATAATAATAATAATAATAATAATAATAATAATAATAATAATAATAATAATAAAAGTGACACTAAATAAGACTTTAAATATTTAAGACTGATCAGTGGTTGACTACATTGAATAAAAACATACCACAGGTTTTGTTTGTTTGTTTGTTTTTACAATGTTAAAGGCCTTTCACAGCACTTCAACCATGTGAGAATTCAAATGTTAATAAATTAAAATCACACTACTAGCAGTATTAGTCAAATGTTAACAATGAGATAATCTTAGACATTTTGTTTTATTTTGTCTCGTCAACGTGTTCCTGGGTGAGCGGTGGCTGCTGGGAGGGCCTCATGTTCTGGACAATTCTAGTTGTAATGTGTATTTACTATCGGGTTTTTTTTTTTTTTTTAAAGTTTCAGACTGGATGGATAAGCTTTTTTTGTTTTGTTTTGTTTTTCAGCTAAACGTCACACCGTCGCTGAGGAAGGGATTCTCGTTTCTGATTGGCTAATTGACCAACCTCGTTCCGGCCATCAGTGCAGGTAACCATAGCAACAGCACAAGGCCTGATAACGCAGGTCTTTGGCTAACTGTGGCTAGCTAACTTTGGATAAATGATGATGGATGATTGACACGGCTTTAGATATAAACTGCGAGTTGAATGCAGACTATTTCTAACTTGAAAGTGGTAAGTAGACTCCTAAATATGTTCATACGTAGATAATAAGTCCATTGCGGTTTTAACAAATGGGGTTTTTACTTTAGAGTCAGGTTAGCATTGAGCAGTAAACTAGCTGAGATTATATGAACCCTCAGGTACAGCTGCAAGGCAACAAAAGTGAGGGCACCCATGACCACTGCTACAAAAATTCAGTTTACCTGCGACCACTGATTAAAATAAATAAATAAATAAAATTAAATAAAATCAGTTTACCTGTGACCACTGATAAAACAAATCAGTTTACCTGTGACTGCTGCAACAATTGTGAGATATAATTTCCAACTGAGTTAAATAAGAATTTTTTTTTGTTTTTTTCTTGCGATAAGACAATGATTTTAGGTGTTACAATTTTAAAATACAATGTTATGTTTAAATATGCAGATGAGGTATTGCATCCCTGAAAAGCTGCCCTAATTTGCAGTGATTTCCTTAACAGAAATCTGAACATTGGATAAAGCAAGTTTCAAAATTTTTGTTTGATTTTATTGACATATTAGAATCAAAGGGGATTTGGATATCTCTGATTTTATAAATCAAAACTACTGACAAATGCCCCTTTTTCCATGTTCTTAGGAATCAAATATTGTATAAACCAGGCTGTGAATGACATTTATGTACAAAACGCGCCGTAAAACCTTCAGAACATAGTTAGGAATAACACTTAAAAGTCTTGTGTTTGTGTGCTACTGAAGTAGAGATTACTTGCTCAGACTATGAGAAGAAACAAACCAGCCTTTAAAAATCTGTTTTTTAAATTTCATACATTTTGATTGGAAATCACTATTTACAGTTAAAAATATAAAATTATAGATATCACTAATAAACTTAAAACCCCAGATGATTTTTTTTTGTATTAACATTTTTATGAAAAATATATATTTAAATATGCAAATATATGAGGTATCGTCTCATTAAATATGCTCTAATGTGCTAATGCGGTTGCATAAATATCCAGCAGAAAATGTAAACCTAACACCTAAATGTGTATTTTGGATGCTTTCTGTTCACTAGTCTGAAGATGACATGTTATGAAAACAAAATATTGACTAATGCATGAAGAAAAATGTTTTTGCTTGGAGTGTCTCGCCTAAAGCCCAATTGCATGAACAAGCTTATAAAGAACCTGCGAGCAACGCAGCTTTCTTAGTTTTGGCCTGGTTTGTGTCTAATACAACACGGCCTTACATGGTAAGGAATTGCCTCTGAATAAGTAAGTAAACAGATTAAACTTTGCCAAAAGAACATGAAAAGCAACCTGATGAATATATGGCAGCACACTCTTAAGACAGACGTTATAATTTTGCAAACAGGCACACAACAGTTTAGATGAAAACTGTGACTTGGTCAAGTGTGTCCCCTGACTTGAATCTTAATGAAAAAACCTTTGGTAATTTTAAAGTAGACGGCAGATGAACAGAACCTCTCCAGCAAAGAGTGGCTGAAAGAAATTAGCTGTAAACAATGACTGAAGTGAGGACTGAATGTGTCATCAAAAATAAAAGCAAACATAAAAAATATTTTAAAATAAATATAAGAAGGGCCTCTTACGAAATCACTGTGTATGTACATTTTTTTTTTTTTTACATTGAGGTTGTACATATGGCCGGTATATACATCCATACATAGGCAGAGAAGGTATGTTTACATAGTCCTGTCATAGAGTACTTGTGAACCTTAAGCTCAACATTATAACCTGCTTATGAAAGGAGTTTTACGTACGTACTGATCACAGCCACTACTACTACTACTACTACTACACTGCTCACAATTTTTACACTTTGACTAAATATATCAGCTGTTTGTTAGGAGGTCATGTGGCAAACTGTACGCAGGGATTCTTGTTAACCGCCTTCTTTTTTTGGCTAGTTGGCTAATCAAAACCATCATTCAGACAGTAATGACAAACGCAGATCTAATGTGTGGTGTCTGGCGTTGGAGAGCACCAGTTTATATTGGACTGAAAGGCGACATTGCCATAAAAATGTCTGACATCATCTCAGACTGCCATGGACTGAGAGCAACTCGTTCTGACTGTGGGTAATTAGGGCAAAACTGAATAGAAGGCATCTTGTGTAAATGTTATATATTTCGCGTGAACGTGTATATCCTGCTGTTTTCGTTGCACTTAGGCCACGACTTATCCACCTGCATCCTCTTCATTTAGCTTTGCAAATTACAGCAGGTGAAGACTTGAAATGTCCACATACTGCAATTCCTGTGTTTTTCTAAAGTTTGAAAGCTCTAACTCCTGTGTGCTTATGCAGAGACGGTGCTGAACAGTGCCCTCTAGGCAGACGGTGTGCCACTGCCTCTCCCTGCCAAATAGACCTTAATTCCCCTGCATGGTTATCTGTGCGGTGCCAAGCCAGTGTCAGGCTCTACTGCACTGTAGGAGCACTCTTGTGTGACTGAAGTCAAAGGACACATTTTTACATTCGGCAACACTGTGTAAGGTACGCCGTCTCAGGTGTACGCTCCAAATATATTGCTTAAAAGTGCATTCAGAGGTGTGTTGGGATGGGTTATGGTGCAACAAAATGATCAAATACATCTTGTGCTCCATCCCACTCCATGGCACAATGGCTGGATTGCGTTCACTGAGGGGGCGTGCGGGTGGGTGGTTGAAAGTGGCGCAACATCAAGTGCATGCACTGTAAATTTACACATGGGAACTTGCTGTTCCCACAGCGGATAAGACACTTTTCGACTTAGTAATGTCTTCTCTGATGCCTCACCTGTTGGAGCTTGGCAGGTATTATGTACAGAGACGGTGCCGAGCCAGAGTGTGCATCAAGGGGGTTGCTGGCAGCCCCTACTGTATGTGCTGGAATGTGCCAAGACTTGCTTTTGGGGTGGGACACCATGACCTCAGGCAATAGGATGGGTGGGTGCGACTCGACTCACATAGAAAAAGGAAAGGAGTAGCGAGAGATGAGGCGGGTGAGAACAGACAAGAGTTGCAACTCAGTTTAACATTAAACCACACATATGACTGTCTATATGGGGGGGAAATACAGCATGGCATTCATTGCGGGAAACCGCAGCGGGGGGAAGGCATGGGTTAATGATTTGTGTCATCTCTGATTGAGTTTATGACTCTGACAACTGTCCACTTTTTAGCGCAAAGAAAATTTCCACTTTACTTTTGCCTCGCGGAGAGGAGAGGGAGAGGAGGCTGAGGGGGAATGCTGTTTCTTTAAGAGAGGGAGAGAGTGAGTGCGAGAGAGAGAGAGACAGAGAGAGAGAGAGAGAGAGAGAAAGGGAGGGACCTCTTTGCCCTCCAGAAACCAGGAAGGGAATTGAGTTGATCTGCTGCTGCTTGGTTAGCGCATACGGGGCTTTAAGCTGCACAACAGTGAGAGGGAGAGAGAGAGAGCTCCGGAGAGGAGGAGAGGAGAGGGCTGAGCTAACCCACAACAAGCACCACCACGGCCATCGCAGGTGAGCTAAAGGCACCCTGCCATCCCCCCTCTGCCTGCCCTGGGCCTGTCGAACAGCGGGGAGCAGGGCAGAGGAGGAGAGCAGAGTGAGGGAGGAATGAGGGAGGGGGCCAGAAAGGAGAGCAGGGTGGGGGGGTTGGCCGGAGAGAGGAGAGGTGGGTCGCAGCAGTAGTCCCTAGTCAAGGTTCCTCTTTTTTTTTTTTTTTTTTTTTTTTTTAATCCTCCTAAAGTACTTCCTCTGTACTGCTCTTTACCTCTGGGGAATCTTGAGATAAAGTTTATAGGATGTGTTCAAGGCATTAACTTTTCAGGCAGGTGGAAGCACTTAGAGGAGGAGGGAGGAGGAGGAGGAGGAGGAGGAGGAGGAGGGGGTTCTCGAGAGAGAGGGTGGGGGGTACCGAACGAGGAGGAACCAAAAATAATTCTATTGGACAAGGTACAGGCAATGGCAACAACTTTTCGGGACAGTAGCGATTGAAACGCTCAGTGTGGGGTAAGTTGTGCGTTGTGTGCGCAGGGCATGTTGTTGTGGCATTGGGCTGTTTAGAATAGGAATAAGTGACAATTTAGGTCAGGAGTTTTAAGTGTGTCTGAAATGTCACTCGAGTGCGGGATGATGAAAGAATCCACCTCTAATGTTTCATTGCTGCTCTGACAGTTGAGGTTGAAATGCTTTTTTGAAATTTATTTTTTTCCTGCGAAGCTCTGCCCTGTTTGATGGCTGGTCTGTACTTTAATACCTGGCAGCCTGCTAGCAACATACTGTAGTGTATAATTCAGCCCTGAGTGCTTACGTTAGAGCAGGCTTGGAGATAGTGGGGGTGGTGGGGGCAGAGAGAGCTGGGACTCGTAGTCCATGGCGGGGGCTGCGAAGCAGGTCAAACGGGGTTTCGGAACTCTATATCCCAGAGTGCCTTGCCCTTGGCCATCCAGGAAAGGGAACAGCCGCCAGCCTATCCTAACAAGGAGGTGTGGTGAGTGAGCTGTTGTCAAGCCAATGAGCAGAGGGGATGCGGAGCTGAGTTGTGGGCTGAAAATAGAGGGGGGTGGGGTGGTGGTGGTGGTGATGGTGGTGGTTGGAGGGGGGTGTGGAGGGGTGGGTAGGTGTCTGTTTGTGTGGGATCAGGCAAGGGCTTGCCTGTATGACTAGGGCCACTCACAAGTTTCCTGTCTGGTAATGCTCTAGCCCTGCCCAGAGACGGAGGCAGCAGAGCTGGCCGGCAGGCAGGGGAGGCAGATAGGGCCCGGGAAACATTTTCAGCCTCTTTGGTAAGCTCTACAAAGACCTCCACATACACACACACACTGTGTCTTTGGACTGTGACTGAGTGAAGAAGAGAGGCAAGCAGAGGAAATAAATACCATAGCGTGTTGTGGGTGAAGGAGAGCGAGAGAGAAAGGGCTTGATAGAGTTCAGAGTTCTTGACCCACTTGCAGATAAAGGAGGGAATGGCAAATAGGTCAGCGCTGAGTGTAAGGTGCTGCACAGAATACAGCTCGGAGAACTAGCCGCTGTAATTAAAGTTATCTTATTCACATCAGGCTAACTTTTTAAGTCTGGGCATTTGAGGTCATTGTGCATCGTGCTGTTTTGATCCTGTGAATGCGCACCATTCTTTTAATGTTTTCATCCACTGCTGTGATTAAATAGCACTGCTGCTATAATTAGTAGAGTGAAAAGATGAAGACAGTTGCACATCCTGTACTGCTGCTTCTTTTGGGGTGTTAAAGTAACTCCACAAAAACCCACCGCATCAGATGTTTGCTAGACTGTGGCAGAGCGACCATGCTGATAGCTGACAGGGTACAGGTGGAGTGTTGAGGAGTAGTTTATTTGAGAATCCTCCGTAAGTGACATGTCTTCTTGCTGAAGGGGAGAATATGTGACACATCTCGTGACAGCTGAATTTCACTGCTGGGGTAAGCTGCCTCGGCTAAGTCCATGCAATATTAAAATAAAACTTAAGCTCTTGTAACTTTGTGCACTATCCTGGAGAATTTATGGGCTTGCTGATTGATTTCAGTTTTTCCTCAGCTACTCATACCATGGTCAATCTCATGACATCTTTTTCTCCCAGTTCACTCTCCCCCTTCCTCACCAGCATCTCGTTAAAAGCAGATTCTAATCTCGCCTTCCATGTAATGCTTGCTTGTGGCTCGTGGTTTTAAGACTTCACAGTAACCCAGGCTGCCTTGCTTGATAACCAGATGCATATTTTTTTTGACTTTGCATACTTGTTGAACCCGTTTTTTAAACGTGTGGGCACGGAGAGGGTATAAGGAGAGTACAGTACATGAAGACGCCCAAGTGCTGGGAAAGTGACTGGAATGCTTCTCGGAAGGTGGCGGGAGACAAAGTTGATGGCATTATTGTTTTAAAAAAAATATTAGTAACAGTTCAGATTGTCATGATGTTACAGTCTGTGCTATTTTTTAGACACCACTGCGGTAGACAAGTATAGTTATTTCAAGAAAATTCCAGCAAGAGGTTAAACTAGGACGCCATATGTGTTTGCATGTGTGAGTGTGTGCTTGTGTGCACGCATGCGTGTGCGTCGGTGTTACCAACAATAGACTCCAGGGGAATTGCAGGGGACTTCAGTGGCTGTGGGCAGGTCCAAGACACCACCCATCAATTTGGCGGTGAGGCTGAATACAGTTTGATATTCCTGTATGTTTGTGCCTACACCACTATGGCTCGAAACTAGCAGGTTCAGACAGACAGAGAAGACAGGTTGCGTGATGTCGCCGTGGCAGTTTGAGGCTTTATTTTAGAGTGAAATCTTGGCTGCACACAATATATTACATGTAAGAGTCATTATGTTTGTTCAAAGTTTTATTTATGTGGTCGATCGATCTGTTGTAGAACATATGGTGATTAGTTTTTTTCTCACGTTTTATATCAGACAGCGTCATTTCTCTCCTGCTACTCTGCTGTGTCTCTATTACTTTGAACATTTTTCTACAGTTTAAATTGTTTCATCAGCCTCGTTCTTACTGAATACAGCTTCACTTCCCCTAATGTTTGATTCCCCTGGTCAGCTGCTTAGTATACCACAGCTTCCAGCCTGGCTAGACAGACAGACCCCTCTCTGTTGTTTTTCTGTTGTTGTGCTGAAGTCTAGGGGGAGTAAAGGGGCTTCTTCTGTTCTCTTCTGGGACGTTTATTATGGAGAGGCCAACACAACCTGATCAAATTAGAGTGGGAGAGGAAGATGCTGGGATGTTTTTTTTTCGAGGGGCCGTGAAGCTAGACTTGAATTTTCACACTTTGGGAGTTAGGTGATATGTTAATAGAAGTTGTTTTTGTTTTTTTGTTGTTGGTTTTTTTTTTAGCATGAATTAGCCGAAGGCGGTAGGCTTTTGTCAACAGTGTAATTTATTGTTATATTGATATCAAGCACTGTAGTACAGAGACCAGACACTCCTTTTAATTAAGCAGAAAGGCCAACTGATCAGGAAGGGGATATGTGACCAATCTGACACTGTCTGCATGTTGATTTAGTGAATTGGTTTGCAACGAAACAAGAGCGAAGGCGGGTGGGTTGCACTGAAGGATGGCGAGGCACAGGAGGGTGGGTGGGTCCCGCGCTGCTTTGCCTCCTCAGCAGTGGAAAGGGGAAGTGGGTGATGTGGTGGATACTATGCAGCACAGAGTCTGAGACAGAGATGGAGCAATGATGAGATGAGAGCGACAGATGAGAGGAAGGGGGGGGCGGGAGGGGGGGGGGGTCAGACAGTAGGGACAGAGAGATCGAGCGAGCAGAGAGCTGGTCATCTGATAACAGAGCGGGTTCTGTTACACGCCTGCCACAGACGCACAGGAAGTCCTCTTTCCCCGCTGGACTGCGCATGCACAGAGTGGTGCAGCCAGGGCACATCAGGCCTACCGACTGACCAACTGGCCAGCTTGAGTTTTTGCCCATCGACGCTATGTTGCGTTGTAGAGCTGCTTCTGAATCCATGTGCAAGATTCTGTTACACTTCCTGGTTGGCAGCATGGCAGCGTCAGAGCATGTTACTCAAACTAAAAGGAACTCAGACCGTGGATGTGGTTTTATTACACTGCAGCTTGAGAAAGACCAGTTTCCCAAAAACACGTGTTGTAACGAAACACTAAATTATAAGAGTGTTGTCGTTTATGCTTTTTGAACTTATTAAAAACTTGAAGAAATAAATATATATTCTTTTAATAATGTCACCTCAGACTAGATTTTGTCTACATGGAGTGACCACAAAGATAGGAACACCTGTACATTGCTATGCAATGCATAAAATACTTTCACTATCATATCACTTTTTGTTTGTCCTGCTGCTTAAGTTGTTTGAAGTGCTTCTGGATATTTCAGCAGATTTCTTTTGCCCAATTTATATATGGAGGAGAAAGTATGAAAGTATTTGGCGGTATGCAGTCTTGTACAACAAAACAACAGACTGTGTAATTTTTTTTAAAGTTTTGGAAAAGCAGTAATTTACATCAGTGCTACTGGAGTGAATTACAGTGTTGTTGTTTTTTTTAATATTTCTGGGAGCTCTTTATGTTTGCTGGCCTCGGACCGAATGATACAATTTAAAGCACTGAGAAAACTAAATAATACAAGAACACAGTTGGCAGAAGTCACAGATCTCTGTTCAGTTTGCTATCAGCACCACAAAACTTACTGTAAATGCATCATAAAATTCCTCACACTAAACTTTGCCCATCTTGTCAGTGGTTACCTTTCCTCTTGTTGTAGCAGGTTAAACCAGGTAACTGAATGAGATCGCTCAAGTTTATCATTGACATCTGAGCCGGATTCCTGGGCCACCATGTGCTCAGGAGTTATGAGCAAGCTTGTAAGTTTAACGCCCTGCCTCGCCCACTACCTTTTCACTGGCTTTGTGTCTGTGTTTTGGCAGCGCTTCCTGGTTAGTTTCTAGTGGAAGCTGCCAGACCAAGACCAGCCTTAGCAACTTCAATTTTATCAGTCACTTGCCCTCTTCCTGCTTCACTCCCAATATGACCAATCAGGTTTCCTTCCACCACTGGCAGCAATGAGTCACTTAGCTATGGCACTAACTCAAAATCCACTTTTCCTCGGAACTGCCGCCCCTTTCCCCATTCCAGTTACCTTACGATATCTTCTTGGTCCTATCTTGAACCTGCTTGACCCGACTGAAGTGATTCCCTTGTAGCATTCCCTTGATTGTTGCCATAGAAGCAAGAACACTTGAGAGTTAGTAACGTGAGGACGAGGAAGGAAAGAAAAATGATAAAGAAACTGTCATGGAAGAACAAATGAGATCAGTGGGCCAACTAAATTCTTTGACTTATTAAATATCCAGATTTTTCCGTTGTTTTCAGTCCTGGTCTTGCTGCTGTGTTTCTGCTGCACTCTAATCTTTATGCAAACACTCAAGGTTGTTGTAATATATGAATTATTCTCATATCAGTTGAGCTGCTGAATGCACAAAGTCTTCACTTCGGTAGAATTGGGAGTAACCAGATAGAATTGTTCTCTTGTAAAAGTAATAAGCCAATAGCACCTAAAAAAGCAAGGTGTTTGTTGTAAAATTAACAACTACTCTGTATTTCGGTTCTAAAATGTGGCTCCTCCGTGCTCCATTGACATTTATGGTTGTAGGGATCGATGATTCAGTTATGTTTGCTCTGATTGTTCCCCCCATAGCTTTGAATGTATTTTTACGAGGCAATTAGTAATTTTCGTGCTTTCAAGTCGGTGAAATCGCAGAAACAAAGAAGACAAAAGAGGGGATATTTGCTTTAAAATTCAGTCAGGCCAAAGTTCTATTTTTTTTTTTGTAGGCGTGTTCTTAAAAATTGTCAACAGACAATTTATTTCCTTTTTAAAGAATTGCCTGAGGTTGCACAGGGTTAACAGTTTGTTCCTTTGTATGTAGGAATGACTGGTATGTGTCAGCCAAAGACAGAGATACTTTGAGAGTGGAAATTCTGCAGACCTTCCATAGGAGATACATATCAGCCAAAAATAAAACCACTTTTACTAACTACCACCACACCCTGTTGTCCTGTGTTTGTCTGTGAATGACAAGCAAACTGGGTACAACTGTCTCGCCGTAGATATTAAAACACACGCTGCTCGGTCAACTGAAATAAAAGCAAAAAGGAAACTGGTTTACAGGAGACCGTTGCAGATATATCAGAAGGGGGGCAGTTACGGATGAGATGAAGGTGATGAGGGTGGGGATGGGATGGGTAGGTCCCATGTTAAAGCAGTTGTTTGACTTGCAAAGCAGGCCCGGGTGCTCATCGACTGAGCATTGAAAGAAGGCCCTTCCCTGGTAGTGGAACGCCAGGGACACGGACAGCTGCTGTGCTGCTTTGTGCTGGGCTGCGGGCCTTGTCACCCACAAGCATGAATTAGTGATAAGGAATGTTTCAAGCCATGAGGAGGTGTCAGGATCAGGTGTGTTGCACTGTGTTTCCTCTTACTTAGTGCTCTTTGCGGGTTTATTTGAGGACAGGTGGCTCCTGCATGCAGAGCAGTGCCTCCATGCTTCATTGGCACCGAATCAAGTTTGTGCAAGTGCATGTGTGTGTGTGTCTGTGTGTGTGTGTGTGTTTTATCTCCTCTCAGCTCAGCGTCTTTACCCCACAAAGCCGTGACCCAGGGTCAGCTGCGTATGTACGGGGGATAGCGTGCTACGCGAGCTTGCAGCAAAGCCTGGTCTAGTGCAGGTGCAGTGGATGTGTGTGTTAGAGAAAAGCAGGTTGGCTCGGGTCTGGATGGGCTCACTGAGATCTATTTCCACCTGTGAAGGACACGACCGGTAGCCATGTGGTTGCCCTTTCTCTTGCTCTTTCTTCCATCTCACTCTGCTCTCTCTCTTTCTCTCTCCCTCTCTCTCTCCCTCGTGTCAACTCTCTTTGTCTTTGCCCTCGTCTCCCCTCCCCTCTCTCAACATATTTAGATGAGGGGTTGGATAATAAAATTTGCTCTTGCCTTGTCTGACAGTCTGTTTTCATCTGAGCTTTGTGAAAGACATTGGCAGTGTTTGCAGAGGCTTTGTGGTCAGCTGCCTATCAAAACCGAATCGAGTTAAGTGAGATGTACAGTGGAAGCCATTAGACTTAGTTCTACCATCATTCAGATGAAAACAGAGCAGTGTAAATATGTGTTACCTGTGATATTTGAACGTGCAAGCTTTAATCTGAGCGTTATCTTTATAATGTTTGACTAATTTAAAACAATCATTGACTCATTTAAAGGACCACGACTAGCCTCCTGCCTCTCTCACTACAGAGGTCTTTTTTCTTTTTTTTAAAGGCTTTACCTAACTCTGACCTGTGGGCTGAGGTGACATGTTGCCAGGTTTCAAGGTGTGGAGACAGATAGGCGTTTCTTTTTTACAGGGGAAAGTAGAACATTGCAGAGGTGGGAAAAAAAAGGAGAGGCAGCCAGGTTAGGCAGGTTTGGTAGTGGGGTGTAGTGTACAAACATACCAGAAGGACTGATCTAAAGGAATGTCATTTGAATGCCTTGTAGGAAGCAACACATTCAACGCATCCCTACCACCCACCACCACTACTCCCCCCTCCAAGCCTTGCCCCCTGCTGGGTCCTCCTGGCAGATGGAGAAGGGAGGGGAGGAGGCTGTCCTATATGTGTGTTTATGTGCATGTGTGCTATTGATGTTGCAGTATTTGCTTGTGTGTGAGTGTGTTAATAGAGAAATCGAGGATGGCTCGTTCTGCCGAAACCCCCCTCCCACTGCGCAGGCTCCAGTCGATCATTTTAATCTCCCCCCCACACGTGAGCGAGGGGACAGGCCTTTTCTGAAACTTGGCACACAGTACAGGGTGGGGTAACCAGCTCAGACCGGATTGACAACCTCCCTTTTTAATACTGTTCCCTCGCAGCTTGTTGCGTGTCCTCTTCCTCCTCCTGTGGAGTTTTTCCACAGGGTCTGCTCTCTGGCAGCCCCCCTCCCCTCCCTTGCTAGCTCTCTCCTCTGTTCCTCCACCTCCCTCACTTCCCTCCCTGGCGCTCGACCGACACAGAGTGCATAGGCTGCGCAGCCCAGCTCCCAGCATGCACTCTGATCCCCACAGCCCTCTGCCTATCTGTCCTCCACGACCTCTTACTTGATTTCTTGCGCGAGTGCATACACACGCCCAAAGATGTAGGCGTGTATACAAGGAAGCGGGCACCGAGCCACCTGCACACACACACACACACACACACACACACACACATATAGTACATAAACATCTTCACTTAGTCATTCACCCACTCATGGTGTTTTTGCAGGCAAAAAGCCTGGCCAAATGCTTTCAAAATTGTCGTGAACTACTTTTTATTCAGTGCCATCAGAAACTAATTAATTACACATTGTCAAGTTTCTGTTTGCAGTAAATCTGTACACCTGTTGTACCAGTAGATTTGCTTTAAAAACAATCCTGAGCAGTTGTGATGTGAAGCACTGTGGTGTTATCGCATGGCGTCTTTCAGCTTGAGACACTGTCAAGGCTCTTGGGTCGAGCGAAATGTCTGAAATGTCTTTGCTATTATTTTTTTTAAGCTCCTTATGTGAAACTTACAACAAAATAGATGCCACACAGCGTTTGACAAATGTGACAAATGTAAATTATTCACAGTGAAGTTCAGTTTCAGGTCAGGCACACAGAGCATAAAATTATTTTCTTGAAAGTCGAGTTTGGGAATGTGGAGAAAGATGGTTGATATTTAGCTTGTTAGCATGTGCCAGATGTACCATCCCTCTCTCTTCCACTGCCTACTTTCCCCTTGTCCTGTGCGCAGGCATTGACTCGCACAAGCTCGAACATGCATGGGATACGATGAAAAGGCGTTACGTGGATCAGTCCGAGCTACATTTACAGAGCGAGGGCTGTGTGCGAATACCTGATTTCTTTTTTTTTTCCCCCTCAGAGTAGACACAGAACAGACAGCTCGCAGACAGTGAGGAGACATTTCCTAAATTTTACATCAATTGTGTTGGATTAGAATCACAGACTTTACCTTAAAGTTTAATTGGGTCTTTTCGGTATGAGGAACACGTGTTGAAGAAGGATTGTGATGTGGGTGGTTTCGGTATGAAAGTATACATGTTTAGGGATACTGTCGTTATGTTGTGTAAAAGAAAAGTGCGACGAGCGTTTTCTAATGTCAGGGAATGAATGAATCATAATGATTGGTGGCGTGATTCATTTCAGATTTTGTTTTTTGCTAAACTGCTAAAGTTAAGTTCATTTGGATAAAGGGCATGAGGATATTTTATATAGGTCACAAAAAAACTGTCATTAAATGGACACATTATGGTTGCTGGTCAGTTAACAGTGTTCATTAACTATATTATCAGTTTCAACTTGTCATAGCTGTTTCTCATGGTCATGAGAATTTGTTTGTGTGACTATTAAGGCAAATAGCACCAATCTGTGTAGAGATTTTTGGCAAAATGTCCCCAAGCTAATTTAAAATCTGTATATTTGTACTTATAGATTTTGACAACTTGTGCACTCACTCACTTATTTGCACTTTATATTTAATTTTTTTCCTCCGTGAACTTTTGGCGCATGTGTAGGTGCATATTTCTGACTCAGTCAATTAATCAATATGTGTATTTTTGTGTCCGTGTAAAAAAAAAAAAAAAAAAAATGTCAAGAACTAATCTGTAATTTTCCTCTTTGTCTGTCCCTTCTGTCCCATCTCTCTGTTCAACTCCTCTATCCTCAGATAGGCAGACGGACAGACGGCAGGACGGATACACGGGTGGGGGCTGTGCTAGGCGGCTCGGCGGCAGGCTGGTGGAAGATGTCGTCAGGAGCCGGTGGGAGGGGAGGAAGGCGGCTCAGGGGGACAGTGAGCAGCGGGGGTGGAGGAGGGAGAGGAGGGGCGGGAGAGGCGGAGGAAGGTCCTGTGGGGATCCCTTTCCCTGAACACAGCGCCGACATCCTGGGCAGCCTGAACAAGCAGCGGCTCAGCGGGCTGCTGTGTGACGTGCTCCTGGTTACCCAGGACCGGGAGTTCCCAGCTCACCGCTCCGTCCTGGCGTCCTGCAGCTCCTACTTCCACAAGCTCTTCACTTCGGGGGCCGCCGCCGACCAACAGAACATCTACAACATCGACTTTGTGGCAGCGGAGGCCCTGGGAGCGTTGCTGGACTTTGCCTACACAGCCACATTGACAGTCAGTCACAGCAGCGTGGCTGACATCCTTGCTGCTGCACGCCTCCTGGAAATCACACCTGTCCAGGAAGTCTGTACACACCTGCTGGACACCAAAGTGCTCTCCCCGCCGGTACAAGACCTTTATAGAACTACAAGTATTATATCAAATTTAAGCATACACCATACCCTGTAGAAGCATTGTGGTCCATGCTGAGTAGATATTTTGTGGAACTGGAATACCTGATCAAAAATGTTCTCCCGATCTATTCACATAGAGAATGGGCATCTGGTTATCATACCATCCACTTCATTAAATAGTCAGCATAGCCAAGCTTACATCATGGCCTTTATCAGTCTCTCTCACTATGCCAAACACACACCCACAGCCTTGGGGTTAGTTCAACACTTACTCATGCTGAGCCAACAGCATTTGTGGAAGGACAGCATGCTCTTTCACAGACCACAGACACAGCAGATTGTAGCTACACCTCAACATGATCAACTGTAGCTGTGTAACGCTGTTTGTAAATACATAATACTTTATATCATGCGATAATCACAGCTCAGTTTCACTGTGGTGATCACATCATGCAGGACTGGTCAGAGTCCTTTGTAAGCTCGGTCCCAGCGTTGAACATCGCAGTTTATAGCTGCAAGTAGTCAACATTTCTAACTATCTACTGATAAATTTTTATCAGAAGTGTACCTGTCTTATAACCCACTAAGACTTTAACAGTGGCGTGTCTTAGGAGTTAAGGAACATACGAGCAAAAACATGCATAGTTGGGCGAAATAAGTAATCAAATTGGAAACAAAATCACAATTTGAAACACTGTAATTCGGGATATACATTTTGCAGCATGTCTGACACAGAGCTGACCAAACTGTCATGTCAGTGGTTTTACAAATTCATGCCATCCTCCTTATGTGATAGTCTCTCTTTTGATGGTCTCTCATGTGATAATACTCCATTTAAATTGATTACATGTTGAACTGAAGCTTGACTATAAAAAATTACCTTGTAAATAGATGTTTACTCCAAATTGTTCAGAACTATTACAGGGTCTCTGTGCTGTTTTATTATGTGTTCATTTTTTAAAAAATTTATTTTAAATACACATACCAGTCAGTAATGCATTTAGCCAATTAATTTTTATTTTCTCATTGCACATGCCTGTACCCATGAGCATACTGAGCCCTTGGGTGTGCATCCAGGATACCCAGAGAGTGATGTGTACATGTTGAAAGGCCTTACAGTTATACATTTAGCTCTCTCTGAGTCAGCCTTTCTTAGCTGTTGTGCTTCATTGAATGTGTTTTTTTAAACATACTTTTTTTTCTTCTCTGCTTTTCACTGTACTGTATCTCTTTCTGTCTCCATCCCTTTTATTTATTTTTTGCACAAACCTATTCTGACTTTTATTTTCCCTTTTACTCACTCTCATTGTTTCTCTGTCATGTTTTACTAGGCGGGCAGTGAGCGAAGAGATGAAGACGAAGATGAGGAGGGGAAAGGCAGAGGAGGCAGGGAGCAGGGGAACCGGGTGCGGGCCCGGGAGTACCTGGAGTACTTCCAGAGAGGGGCGCACTGGAGCAGCAGCTGCAGCACGCCAGAGCTCAGGGACCTGCCCACACACCTGCACTTTAACCACGGTAATGGCGGCGCCCCCAGTAACGGGGCTCCTGCTGGCCCCGGTGAGTACTACTCCCCCCTGGCCCTTGCCTTGTCCCAGGCCCCGACACAGGAACCAGAGGAAGAGGATGAGGACGAAGAGGAAGACGAGGAAGGGGAGGCAGTACAGCGCAATGGAGCAAGCCAGGGGTCGTCATACTACCCTCCATCCCAAAATGGGCACTTCTACCTCCCCCCCGAGTCCAGGCTGGGGCCGGAGACCGAAGTGGAGGATGGTGGTAGGGAGGCGATGGTGAGGGAGAGGGGCTCAGCCAGCGCCCTCCTGCAGCAGATGATGGACTCCATCGAAAGGCAGAAGGAGCGTGCAACGACTGGGGAGGAACAGGGAGATGGGGATGACCCCGACATGGAATTTTACTTGAATTATTTTAGCAGCGCGCAGCATGAGGATACAGCTTCTGCTGCTGTAACACAGGGAGTGCCATCGCTCTGGTTATCACGAGGCAGTACAGGCCAAGGCAGAGTAGGAGGGGAGAGGGGGGTTGGAGAGCGAGGCAGTGGGGGTGGAGGAGAGAGGAAGATGCGCTCTAAGGCTTTCCAGAAGTGCCCCATATGCTCCAAGGTCATTCAAGGAGCAGGCAAGCTACCCCGCCACATCAGAACGCACACGGGAGAGAAACCCTATGAATGCGCCATCTGCAAAGTGCGCTTTACCAGGTAAGCCCAATTAATGAAGGGACTACCTCATGTCACATGTACTAATAGTCTTGGACTTGGCACTGTTGACAAACTGCCCAGCAGTGGGAAACACTACAAAGCCAAAAGCAGGAGTATTAGCGCTAACCAACTTAGCTTTGCATTAAGAAGGCGGTGCAGATTGTGAATCTAAATGTTTACCTTGATCTTGGGCCGATTGAACACTAACCAGGGTTATTTTCCAGTGTCACATTGTTGCCAAATGCTAAATGGCATGTCGAATATTGCAGAGAGGGGGGCTGAATGGTTATAAAGGTCTGTTTTATTGTGACAGCCTTCATAGCAAAGTCCTGGAATTTTAGCATAGGGGTCCTATAAAAGAAGGCTGTGCCATGGTAGTGTTATCTAGTGGAAGGCTGCTATAAAGTGCTGTGTTCTGATACAAAGGGGGATTACTGGCCCTGGATGGTACTCTGTGTGCTCCAATGCAGTAATGTGAACTTTTGATCTCTGGTTATGTTGATTATTGCCCACGGCGGAGTAGTTACACCACCCCCTCCTCTCTCTCTCTGTCACTCCTTTACCTCTCTAATGAAATCTGCCATGTGCCGCTCAGAGAGATGTGGCCAGTCTACAGGAGGGGACTTGAGTGCACATGGTTTCCTTGTATTTAGAAGTCCTGCCTTTTCCTTGAAATCATTCCTTTAATTAATTAATCAGTGGACTTGTGCTGGAAATAGATGCAGTAGGCTAGAAATACCCAGAACCTCTGTTGGCATGGCAGGTAGGGAAGACCAATCTGAATTTACCTTCTGGCTAAATTCGACCGGCAGTGGGAAGGGGGCATTGTAATCTTAATCCTGTTTGATCAGGGTTAAGAGTGTGCCTTGCACAGTAATAAATCACTCCTGTCCTTTAAATAATTCACCTCTGTCAGTGTGCCACTTTGTTCCGAGGCTTCAGCCTGAGTATATTTGTGTGTGTGTGGAGGTGAGTGTATCTCCTCACCTGTGTACATGTTTCTCTGTTAATTTTTAGATTTAGAGAACAGTTTGTACAGACGTGTAAGAACTGCAGTGGGTCAGTTCGTTTGCAGATATGACAGCTAATCCACTTACTCGCATAGACACTCATGCATGTGTGTTCAAATGGAGTTGTCTTAACTATCCATGTTTGTTTAGAAGCCCTCTGCCCTGGGTGCAGAAGGGTTAGACGATTTAAGAGCTCGGGAGCTAGAGAGATAGTAAAGGGCTGAAGGGGGAGGGAAGGACAAGAGTCAGATGAAGGCCAAGGCAGCCTGATAAAGTTTAGTGGGCGGTGTATCACCGCAAGTTGAAAAATGTTCCAGGATGTAATGAGGTGACTCAAGACTTTGAGAAGTCAAGTCATATTTTGGTCTTGTTTTGACCAGAGTGTAATTGTTGGAGAACTTATAAATTATTGAATAGTAAGTCTTCCACGTCGGCTATTGGATTTATATAGACGTGACACTGACTCTTATACAAAATTCAATCACAATATGGCTTGTGGGGATAAACCTAAGCTGCCAAGTTGAGGATGTTTTACACACTCGTTTATATTTCAGTACTTCTCAACAATAAATGTCAGGTTTTCAAAATCAACTTTGAATTGTTCAGCTGTGGAGGACATTGACGTCTTCATTTTCTATGCACAGAAAAGAAAAAAAGGCACGAACATTTTTGGAATCTATCAATTATCATGCTGTCCTCAAAGAACACTTAACGGACACTGTAAAGGCCAACTGACACAGTGAACATTGAGCTTTCTTGTCACTGCACAATTGTGCTCTTGTGTGCAATTACACAGATAAAAATGTGAAGTTTATTGCCTCTCCTCAGTTAGACTGGCCAACCTCACAAAATTGGACGGGACCCAAAAAATTACTTTTAAATAGGAAATAAAACCATCCAAAGCATATTAAGCTGTCCACTGTACATGAGAGAATTGATAATGTGATTTGAGTTAATTATTTATTTGTACGTGACATTCCGTAGTCTGATCAGTATCAAGTACATTTATAGTAAATGGGGAGGAGCTGATCCTTCAGTGCATTTCATTTATTCCTTCATGTGATATTGTTTATTTTTTTCTCCTTTTCAGGCAGGACAAGCTCAAGGTTCATATGCGGAAGCATACAGGAGAGAAGCCTTACCTGTGTACACAATGTGGAGCTGCCTTTGCTCACAACTACGACCTGAAGAACCACATGCGTGTACACACTGGCCTGCGCCCCTATCAATGCTCAAGCTGCTTTAAGACTTTCGTGCGCTCGGATCACCTGCATCGCCACCTCAAGAAGGACGGCTGCAACGGCATCCCTTCTCGCCGAGGCCGAAAACCACGGGTGAGAGAGCAAGGGCTCCTCGAGGCCCCACTAGGCCTGCTGAGTCCCGGCTCCGACACGGGCCCCGGGCCTCGCACCATCAGGGGACGGCGGCGCTCTGAGGCAACCTCAGCAACGGAGGTGGAGGGTGCTGCTGGAGCACATGCACAGAGTCCTCAGCTGCAGGAGCTGGCAGGGGAGGCAGGGCCCTGAGACTGCAGGGGCGACAAGGACACTGCTGGACACCATAGTCACTCTGCACCGCCTGTGAGACAGGCCAGTGGACAGAGAGGAGAAAAAACATGCAAAGGCAATTAATAAAAAAAAAAAACAACAAAACAACTAACTATTCCTCTATAAACCAAATCAGGGTGTCACAAAAATCTAATCTTTATATTTCTTTCTCCTATTACTTTAGGAAACGGAGTAGACTTGCAAGCACTTGAGTTGGTTTATTTGTTAAAGAGCAAAGAACGCTTCAAATCATCCACCCATGATGTCCACTTTCTGGACCATTTCTTTCTTTGTAATATTAGGGGTTTTATACATTGGCATATGTGCTTAGGCAAATGTATGATAGATACAAAGAAACTCTGAGCAACTATGCAGTTGATTTAGATTTTTATTGGTTTTGTCCTCACAGCCTTCAAGCTCTAAGAAAGGTGTCTGTCAAGCACCTTCTGGCTGCTGTACGGGTGAAGCGAGGACAAATCCTCCCAGTGAAAACAACTCCTTTTCTATTCTTTTGCAGGTCTGAAATGTACAGTTACCATAGAAACAACATTGCCACAATATGGCATATGCAAGGAAAACTCACCACAGTTTTGATGCAACAGTTTTTTCCTCTCTAAATGTTCCAGAAAGAATCAGGCAAGGGTTTGATTGAAGTGTTACTTACTCTATAAAAATGCATTTTAAGAATCTATGGTTTGTCTTATTGAGAAACAAATTCACGTTGAGTCGAATCCACTTTAACGGGGGCTCGCCAATTGCAGGACTAGGGAGTACGAGGGGTGGAGGGTTTGTGTTTTTAAAGCACTACCATTGTCAATGTATCTGTTGGCTTTACTACGTTGCCTCTTATCCCTCACAACCCTGCAATGTCAGCATTTTTGTTTTCCCTTTTGATTTTGTCTTAATTTTTTTTTGTTTTTTCGTCGTCGTTCCTTTTTGTTGACTGCTTCGGGTACTTGACACTTTATAATTGTATACATGTATATACAGCAGGTGGTGATGTGACATTGGCCCCCCTCTTAATGCTGAGGTGTACTTACCAATCGCGTTTTTTTTTTTTCTCTTAGGCTTGATGTCATATTTCTCACAGAGTGAAGCTTGTGGGTGAACGAAACAAAACTGTATGAATGTTCGCTGAAAACAAACGAGGAAAAAAAAAAAAAAAAAAACATTGAGTCACCCATCTGTCCTAAACTTAACACTTGACATGTATAGTTCCTGCCCAAAGGATGAGGAGGTCGGATGAATGAATGTGCTTAACTTTTGTGCAGTTTTTTCGGAATCTGTCCTTGTGTGACAAGGCGCGGGTAGCATTTAACCAATCACAGGTTAAAGGACTGGCAGGGAGCCCGAGTGAGAGAGTGACAAAAAGAGTACGAAGAAGAGATAGATGAGCACCTTTTTTTCTATGTTTGCACAGCTTTACTAAAGATATCCAACAGAGTGAGAGAGAGGTATATTTAAAGGAAGTGGGTTGTTGTTGTTGGGGGAGGGAGTGAGAGGAGGTTTATGTATCACGCTTATTCCAATCTTTTTGCCCTGGGGACCACACAACCGTAAGGCAACCTGTATGATGAAGAGAGCAATAAATACCTGTCCAAGTTGGGAGGCCAAATAGGAGCGCAGCTGCAGCTGGTTGATGTGGGGCGGGGGGGTGGTGGAGGGGAACAAGAGGAAGGGGAGGGGGATCTCACAATGTCTGTTGCATTCCAAAAAATAATCTCCCCCAGCTCAGCCACGTTTCCAGGCAGGAGGGGATCAAATCAGGCCTTTTTCTCTCCCTCTCGCTCTCCCTCTGTAGTCCTCTAATGCCCCCGAACCAGCCTGGAGGGGATATTATTATATTAGAGCCTGGTGTTACTGTGGGGAGGACGCCTGGTGCTGGCAGTCTAGTGTGCGAGTGTGTTTACATGTACGTGTGTTGGCGTGCATGTGTGTGTGTGTGTGTGTGTGTGCGTGGCAGCAGCCAGGGTCCCTCTGGCCACATCATCAGTGTGTGAGTCAGCCACAGCTTGTTCAAACATGCACCCTGAGCTGCCAGCCCCAATGCACTTTCTCTCACACTGGCTGGGTCCAGGTATCCTGTAGAGGAAGGGGGAAAACACCAGAGCTGACATATCGGTTCCAATATTGCCAGTGACTCCATACATCTGGATTTGCTAGTCTTAAAATATCCAAGTTGTGTTGTTGCGCTCGAAATCCGATGTTGTTATTTCCATACTGAGCTGAATGAGTCAAGAGAACATGCATGCAAGTTTGAGTCCCCCCTTCCCCGCCCTCCCTCGGCCCACCTTATGATTCCTGCAGTAGTGCTGTAGTCCAACTATCAGTCCTTTCGCACCTTAATTGGAAAGAGGCAGGTTATGAATGCACTTTGTTACTGAGGAGGGCACTTTTGTCAACGAAACGGGTACTTTGAAACAAACCAGTTGCAAATGAGATCAGTCCTTGTGTTTTTTTTTCCTCTGTCCACGGTGGTGAAGTTGAGCTCCTTCACTGGTTTTGTTCAGGTTTTGACGACAAGCTGCCAAAAAAAGAAAAAGATAAAAAGTAAAAGAACAAAAAAAAAAATAATCATGTTGGGTTTGGCGACCTAAAAAGAAAAAAAAAAAACGACTAAATTAATCCATGTAACTGAATGCACTTGAAGTTAGTTGTTGAAAAAGATCTACAGTGATTGTCTTTATGTCTTAATGTAAAGTAAGGGGGTTGAATGAGGCGCTAGGCGAAGAAGGGATGCTGTGTGTGTGTATGCATGCATTTTTGTTTTGCATGCATGTGCACAGGCATGCATTGCTGGCTGGCAGGCTGGAGGGTCTCAGGACAACCCTGGATAAACAAACACCGTGTCTACCCCATCTGTTCACCAGCTAGTCTCATAACTACGCGTGTTCTCCGAGGAACCGCGGTGATAATAGGTCCACGGTACCACAGAAGCAAAAATACCATATTGTAAAACAACACATTGGACAGTTGCTTGTTTACTTCACAGCTCTCTCGGTGCAGATTTGCATAACTCTTTGTTTACCCTTGTCGGTCATAGTCGGCTCGGCTATGTCTTGAGAGTCTTAGTTTCTATTTTTTTTTTCTTCTTTGTTATGACAAAGATGGGGTTTGTTATTGCACAGTTTGACTCCCACAGGCAGACCAGTGTAAGCTGGGTAATCTAATGTCTACCTGGTTTGTGATCTTAATGTTCAGTGGTACTTGGCGTGGACTGCTTAAACCCACTTTGTTCCGATGCGGCAGAGTTTGTAACCTGTCAAGACCTGTGAGCCATCTTAAACACAACATTTCTTTGGACCTTAATGCTTCCCTGAATGTCTTACGTTGTTTGTTGATTAACCAAAGCTTTTTCGCCCTCCATCTTAGTCTGCAGTAGACTAGAGATTTTGAAACATAATTTATCCAGACTGGGCCTCCCTGACTAAGCCGCACACGGATGCCCTCCTCTTGAATACATATGCAGACATGTGTGTGGAATCATACAGATATTTACTTGAGTTCACTTCCTCTCACTCTTTGTATCCTTGTGGACAATAGAATCAGAGGTTTAAGGATGTATAGCTTTTTCTGTCTGTCTACACTTCTTAAAATAACGTGTTGTGCTACAGCTGTTTTTTTTTTTCTAACAATTTTACATGGCTGTGCGCGTGTGTGGATGCTCGTATGCGTGTATGTATGTGTGAGAGGTGGGGGTTTTTTGGGGGGGGGGGTTCTTGGTTTTTGGGATGCTGTGCCAGGAGGGTGGGCTAAATGGGTGCTTGGGTGGGGTTATGGATAAAAGCCTGATAGCACTGGAAATGGTGCTTTAGCTGAGAGAGCAAAAGTTTGCACTAATGTTAAATGTCCTTGTCCTGCTTATGGGAGAAGGACAGGAGACCTCAGAAAGGCCTGCGAGTTTCCATGAGCACAGAGCAGTGTGGTTAATACTCAATGGTCTCATCAAGAGTCCATCCAACCCCTCCATAGAAATAATCATGTACAGTGTATTAAGAACATACAGACGTCCAGCAAATACAAATACCAAAGGAGAAAAAAATAAAATAAAAGAAAGACTTTCATTCAAGTCACTGGGCATTTTAAGCTACCGATCTAATGTTGGATTATTAGAGTTTTATTGTTTAATCTGAAGGCTCTTGAAAAGAGATTCTGGATGTAAAAAATTTTTGTTTTGATGGAAGCAAATCATATTTAAAAAATATTCCAAATGTATAACATTTAAGCAAGCAGCAAAACTTCTCCGAGAACATTTGAAATCATGGTCCTGATCTGACGGCTGAGATGTGCTGTGTGAAGGTGCCAGAGATACTGATTCCAATTCTCTTTTATTTTTGTTTGTTTTCTTTCCTTTTTTCTTTTCTTTTTTTTTTTAAATTCAGAGATGGGATTTGTGTCTCCTGCATGGATAATCAATGATGATATGTAATGTTATTTTCAAACACTGTTTTCTTGATCACTGCTGAATTGGATGATTTCAGTCGACTTTCTGCAAAGGTGGAACTGAATTTAAATGTTCTCTAATTGAAACCGACTGTGACTCTGTGGCCTCGTCTGGACAGCACTAAGCTTGTTGTGTTTTTTTTTTACGTTTCCAGACAGTCGTATTGTGCAGTGTGGGGCTGAGGCTCGCTCCCGCCAGATGGAAAAATGCAGCATCAAGGGCCACTGTGTGCCTTATGTGGACAGGGATTGACAAAACTCATACCTTTTGTTGTTTTTATTTTTATTTAATTTTTATTTTTTTAACCATAAACCATTTTCTTGCCACATTTTAGACCAAATTGTAAAAAAAACGTATTGGCTTGGTACTGAAAGGATCTGTTTGAGCTTTACTTGAATGAATTTGTATAATAATGTTCAGAGCTGTGTCTCTATCAGCCTCCATGGCTCCACGACTGGTGTGTCTCCAGCCTCAGCCCCAGACCAAGGTTACTCTGACACAGGCTACACTGAGACAGTCTCAGAACTTCATCGCAAGTGTTTTTTTTTTCCCAAATTGACCTTGATATGTTATTTTTCCTGTGCTATTATCAAAGATTTTTGGTGAATCTATCTGAGAAGGCCATAAAACAAAGACGATAACAACTATGACAACACTGATAACTGTAAAAAAAAAAAAAAAATCAAACGGAGCAGGACGGGGTGACTGTTATTCCGGTGAGCTATCATGGCAGCAGAAAGGGGACTGTTTGCTTTGCTTTGTCATTTTGCTGCACACCTGATTTTTTATTTTATTTTTTTTTATTTTTTGTGTTTTCCATCAGGCTGTTGATGCACAGCAAGCTGAGCGCAGCATATGCAGTACGGCACTATGCGCAGCGTGGCTCTGGCACTTGCACAGACAGCCCTGGGTCCTTCAGAGAGGCAGGCTGCTGTCTGTTGGCTGCTCTCAGCCAAGTGGGGACAGTTTGCACTTGGAGTCTCTCTCAGTCTCTGGGGATACAAAGGCTGGCATACAGGGAGGAGGATTAAATACGGGTGGTCGGGGAAGGCTGAATGTTGTTTTCAGGGATGAGTTTTAGTAAGCCCAGGTGATGGACTGTTTGCTGAGCAATGGTTCAGTGCTTGTAGGAACTGCATGGCCACAATAAAGACATGTAACACAAAGGAGGTCACCACAGATTCCACATTGCTGCAACAATGAGAATGTTGCTGATCTCTTTTGTCTCTTTGTAAGTACTACTCAGGTGGAAAATACACTGCTATGCATTGGGTTACGGTGTCGGTTTATGGTATGTCTAATCACCCTCCGTGTTACTTCTCTGTTTTTTTTTTTTTTCCTTTCTTGTTCATACCAATATTTAACATAATAGTTCCCAGAAAGATAGAAGCACGAACAGTTCCCTCACTGTAAAGTGGCTGTGACCAACCTATTTCTCTATCTCATATTGATCCGGTGAATTGTTTGTTGGAGGGAAAGAAGCCACTTGGGATTCAGTCTTATTAGTCAGACTGTAACGTTTTTTGAAAGGAGATGGGGTTGGAAAAGCACAGGGGATGGGGAGGGGAGGGGAGGGAGGTTGTATGTTCTCTTACTTTCTTCTCCCATCGCTCTCCCCCCCCCTCCTCTCTGGACTCAGAGTCTACATCTTTGCTGCTGACTGGCCTTTGATCAAAGATCACACACCCTCAGCAGGGGAGTCGACGAGAGAGAAAGGAGGGAGAGGGGATTGGATTGGAGGTGTGGAGGATGAGACAGTTTCAGTTTGCAGTCACCTAAACCAATTTTAGGATACATTCCATAACTTCATACTGTGATTCCCACTTTGGAGTTTTTGGCAGGTGTAAAGGATGTGAGCCCGAGACAGCAGGAGGAAAATGGTCAACATTTTTGCAGTTGGCCATTTCGGTCCGTCCGTCTGTCTGCAGCCTCACTATCTCACAGACCGACCGTTGGTAAAGGCCCCCCTGGTTTAGCGCTATCAAACTGCCTTTTTTCAGCTTCTGCGATTGTAACAAAAAAGCACTTTGCGAAAGGCCATCCTGATTTTTTGTGTGCTTTTATTTTATGGTTATCACTATTGTTATTATTTTTGTTGTCCCTGTCGATGTTTTTTTTTTGTTTTTGTTTTCTCAATGCAGATGATTATTTAAATGCAAAAAAATATATATGATGAAAATGGAAAAAAAAAAAAGAAGAGAAAACTTGAATATTTGGTATCTAGATTGAAGATGGCTTGAGCTGCCACTTCGTCCGGATGTAAAGAAAACGCATCTCTGTTATATTACCACCATACCTGTTATGCAGCTTATTGCATTGTCACACAACGGTGGTGGGGGGAGGTTACAGGACGGACCTCCCTCTCCTCCCTACCTGCTCTCTGCTCACTGTCTCAGAACTTGTTGGGAGAAAGGTCACTTGATCTAATTTCTGGAGACTCTTTTTCTTGGAAAAAGAAACCTGTATAACAGTTGCAAAGCTTTCTGAGAAGGCTAGCTGTGCTGAATGTTAAACATGCAGTGTTTAATCTACTGCAGAATCTCTTTGTCTGCAATAACACCCTGTCTGTGTAGGTAAAAAAAAGAAAGATAGAAAAAAAAAAAAAAAGGCTGGATCTGGTATCCATATAGAGCTTAAATGATTATGAAAGACATATGGCCAAATGACCATCATTCACATTTGCAAATCAGAACAGAAAACATGTTTTGGCCTTAACACCTACGTCAAATCCAGATTACTGCAGTAGAGTGCAAAGAATATTGATCATAATAAGCATTCGATAAATCTATAGTTCAGTCAATGGTTTAACTTGGGAGAGAAGAAATAGGCTACTATTTATAGATTGAGTTGTAACTGTGATTATTATAATTCTTTACAGAGATTTTTTTTTCTTTTTTTTTTTTTTTTGCTGATGTACATTTTAAAGCGGCAGAATAAGACCCAGTTCTCAAATCTGGACATTTTTTAAATTTAATTTAAGTCTACACTGAATCACATGAGGAGGAAAACTGTAGCTACACATCTTTCTTTCTGGTAAAACTTTGACTAATGTTGCTCAGCTCAACCACAATCCTCTCTGTGTATCCTGAAAGCAGAGTAACCTGCTCACTACTATCACTGACCGGATGGACTGTGGCCAGAGCATGCAACATTGTTGGACTTTTTTTTTACCAACAGAATGCAACAGAAATATTTCCTCTTTGTAATTCAGTGGAGTTTTACTTTTAAATAACCCCTTTCTTTTCACATTTTGTTTAAAAAAATTTGCGTAGAAGTCCATATCTGTTGGAAGCTGCAGGGGCGGGGGGTAAAATAGGTGATTTATTTTTTTTTTTTGTCAGAGAATTTGCACTTTTTGGCGACGAAAAGAAATTGTATTGTATATGAGACCACTAAATCCACACAGTCTAAACCATATAATTCCATTTTGTGTCTTTTTTTTGTTTTGTTTTGTTCTGTTCTTCTTTTTTTTTTTTTAATATATCCAAAAATGTCTGGCATCTGGTTGTCTGGTTTAAAGAATATAAAATCTTTCTATTAAAAACAATGGTTGCAAAGTTTTGTGTGTATAATTGTGTTTCTTAACAGAACGGCCTGAACAAAAAACAAAAAAGGAAAGCGTTATCTGTAGATAGAAATCTTTGGTAATTCTAGTCTTTATCCTGTCTAATAACTTTTTAAATTGCAGAGGGACGAAGTTGCTTTAAATGACAAAAACACTTGACAGGAGAGTTAAATCACCACCTCTCCGTCAAATCTGAACAAAACGACAATCATGAGCAACTTCACAAAGGTATGTAATCCTGCGTAAAAGCGTTGTTGTTGTATGGAATTACAGAATACTGGCATGTGTTTATGTTATACTGTGTTTCTCATGAACTGTGTACATAATGCTGCCACTTTAAAAAAAAAAAAAAATAAATAAAAATCAGAAAGCAGTTCTCCAAACTGACCAGAAGGTGGCAGTGTTATCACTGTTATTACCATTCGAGGATGCAGTGAGCCTCATTTTGCTGCCACACATCACTGCTGTCTTTCTCTCTCTCTCTCTCTTTTTTTTTTTCTTCTTTTTTTACCACACATGACAGCACAGTGTGTACATGTTTCGTCCGATGCGTAAACATCGCCGTTCAAATATGATAAACATTTTTTGTAACGTTTTGGCCTGACATACGTGGCTGGAGTTAACTAGTTTGGATAAAAAACGAAAAAAAGGAAGCTGTGGTCTTGTTTAAAGGATATTTATGTTAAAGCGAGGCCACCTATACTATTTTAAACGTGAAGTCCGGAGGCAAACTGCAACCACAGGCTAGTTGTCACCCTGTCTTCCTGTTTGTCTCAGCCCGTCTCCCTGAGGCGATCCTGTGGGGTGACAGAGGTCATAGAATAGCTCATTAACCCCACCCCAACAGCCCACACATTGCTGCAGTCCTCAGGCCCTGACTGTGCACACACAAACACACACACACACACACACACACACATTTTATAATGCTCCACTAATAGCAGTTAAGTCGACTTAAGCCCACTCTGAGCAGTATGCTTTCAGGGATGCACCATGAGAAATGCACGTGTCTGGCATGTTGCATGTTATCGCTACACCTAAACACGTCTTTGCTAGTGTTTCTAAACCGTAAATAAAAATGGCCACTTTGCATTGTCAACCCCCCCCTTTTCCACAAACTGAGCAAAAACGAGGGAGATGTCTTATTTCGTTGAACCTGTTGGCCAGATGTCTCGAGGCTCCAAGTCATTAATTGTTATGTTTGTAAGGTATCTAAAGACACAGTGGGGTATGGTGTTATTTTCCATGTTCAGACATCATCGTTGCAGTCAAAACATATTGGATAAGAGGAACAGCAGCACTTCAGGGGCCGAGAGATGCCTGGGAGCTGTTGTCTGGCGTCTCTAGTGGTATTATTCCCCCAGTCTGTGCATGTGAACGTGCACAGAGCGTGTGTGTGTGTGTATGCGCGCAACTGTCTCTGTTTACATGTTTGTCTATATGCTTATTGCGCAAAAAGGTGTGTGTGTGTTTTTTTTAAATATATAATCTCTGCTGCTTGTGCATGCACACCGTCGTCATTAAGGCTCGCAGTAAACGAGCCTCTCGCTGCCCTTCCGATGAGCGTTTTGGAGACGGGCTGCAATGTAAAGGAAAACAGCAACACACACACACACACTCTCTCTAGCCTCATTTTCACCAGTACACACCTTTCTCCAGGGATATAAAATGCCCCTGCCTCTGCACACTGTGGGACATGAGTTTCATCCAAACTAGCTGCCGTCCTCAATAAAACCCACGTGAGCAAATCTCTGCAGTATAGATTTCCAGTTTCTCTTAGGGTATAT